TGATCGAGTAAAAAGGTGTCTTTTTGTCCCGAAACAATAATTGTCACCTGTTTTGCGCTCCTTTCCTTGCATTATCGCCGCGCGCCAGGTACTCTCAGATCACGAACGACATGCGCGTTATCAGAAAAGTGGCCAATGCCGAGTTTTAAGCTGGATGACGATTATTGTTGTGGGACAAAAAGACACCCATTTTAGTCGATCATTTTTTGAAGTGTACCGGTTGCGCAGATCTATTCCTGCTTCGCTAGCTGATACATGGCTCAGCCACCAACCCGCCTGCCTGGACACTGTGCGGAACCGTTGGGTCGCGCCAGACGTCACGGCCAAGTGCGTACGCTATCACTCATTACGGATGAAGCCAGTGAGTGCTTGGTGGTTGCGCGCTATAGTCGCAGACATGTGGAGACCAAATAAGGTTCGCACCGCCGACAAAGAAGATGCTTACACTGGGTATCGCGGCCCGCTATAGCGAGACCGCTGGACTGGACTCGTTTACCACACGACGTAGTATACGTCATAAATAGCTAGGAGCCATTGTCGCGTATCCGACTAGAACTATGCATAACGTGGCATTACTTCGTATGAATTAGGATAACTCGGCATCACTTCGTATACACTAAACGTGGTAGCGGGTGTGATTTTCTGCACCTATGGTAATCAAGGATTACCAAGTTTAGAGCCCACTTATTATGAACTTGCTAACCCTACAGATGATGCACAAAATCGCACATATAGGTTACCAAGTTTAAGGTCTAACTTGGCATCACTCAGCATTCACTTCGTTTAAGAAGTGAACGTTGAGTGATGCCAGCAGCCCCTGGCCATATATGGCCAGGACCTGCTGACATCACCACGAACCGATCAGTCCTGATCAGGACTGCTGACCGATCAGTCCTGGGTAAGCTTGTGTGCGGAAAGACAGACAACGACACAGAAAAGAAGAGACAGGGACAAGCGTGAACTTTCAACAGAATTTAATTATTCGTCATTCTTCAAATATATAGCCACGAAAGAGCATAGTCAAGTAATTAAATTCAGTTGAAAGTTCGCGCTGGTCCCGGTCTCTTCTTTTCTGTGTCGTTGTCTGTATTTGCTCACTCCAGTTTACCCAGAATTATGAACCAACTCGCCCAGCTACAAGTTTTACTAAGCGATCAGTGCCGCTGTGCCTCGAGCCTTGTGCCACTAATGCAAGCTACGCCCGTGTTCTTTTTTTTTTTTTGCCCGCCTGCTTCGCTTTCTGACCTGGATCTGTTGTACCAGCGTAGTCTGATCTTAATTCGTCGGATCATGTGCATGCATACTATATATTGTTGGCACTGCAAGACAGCGCCGCATGAAAACGTCATTTCCGGGTAGTTCATCAGCCTTAAATGGCCCCTCTCAAGCCTCTGAAAATACAAAAAAAGCGTCTTTCTGGCGCACTTGGTGATGCAAGACGAGTGATTCCCGGGACGTCTATAGGGCACATACTTTCGATTGGGGCACATACTTTCGAAACATCAGAGGCGAATTGTCTCCAGCGCTGCTTTACCACGCAAGCCGCCCATCCGTTCTGGCGTGATCACCTGACGGGATTTGTGTTTCCTTCATTTGTGTCTCCGACTTCGCAAACCGAGATAACAGCGTGTAGCCGACAAGCGCGAAATCTTCATAGGCTCAACCCTTCGTGCTGACATATTGTACTCGTGCTTTAAAAAAAAATAAGTGGCAAGGAGGAGATATCGCCTATAGAAGGCGTATCGAGGCGAGGATGAAACCACTCCGTCATCTTTGAACTCGGTGTAGTGGGGGACCCTATAATTAAAAATGAAGGAGGGGGGTTCTAAGGTGCGCTCAACGTGTGTGCTTTTTATTTTGTTTCACAAGAAGTGTCCGCTTTGCTGGCATTCATGGGTTGGTGCTTATGTTCTTATATATAGTACAAATATTCAGTTAGTGAGACGTCTGGGGCTGCCTGCTTGCGCGCAATAAAGAAACGTGGGCCGAGATTTCTGATCACTTTATTGTAGCCCATTCTTTAGGTGGTACTCTAAAAAATAAAGAAAAGCAAAAATGTATGCGAATCTTCCTATTATGCAACATGATTCACCCAGTCTTCGCTTAGACTCGAGCACTTGAGAAATACAAATTGACATGATTTCATGCTGCTCGTAGTCACATTCACATATTTGCTTTTGTAACGTTCATGGGGGAAGAAGTACAAATGAAAACACAGTCTATATATGAAATAATAAATCATATCTGCTTTCATAGCTATCCGATCGCATAAATACTAACGGAAGCACGCTGAAGAAGTTGGTTTGAATACGCGAACAGTACAATACAGCTTTTATTGCTTCTTTCACGCTGCTAGTTCCATAGCACATACTACAGGACGCCACTAGAAATATTTGCGGCACACGTAAGCATATGCCACTCTTTTAAAGATACTATAAAAAGTGATAAAAAAAGAATGTCAAAAATAGATAAAACACTAAACATTCACCGGAGCTTACAGATCTAAGAACACACGATTAGTGGTTTCTTAAATAAACAGCCATTGCAGGATACTAACTTCATAGAGTCACTTGACTGCAACTGAGGGTTGTCAAGTGTACGCTATTACTCGAAATATACACAAATGACTTCTGGCTGCCTGAAGCTTTTTTCAAAAACAGCCTAACACAATTCGAACTAAACACATGCGCGCGCGGAGAAGCAGTTAGCTCTTGGCAACAAATATAAACAGTGAGCTCATTTGCTGTTTGTTCACTTTAACCTAAACACGCCAACACCGAGATATTTTGAAGGCTTTTATGCATCCACTTTTGTGCAATCACAGTGTGAAATGACAGAACTGGTAGGACAAAAACAAAAAAACAAAAACAAAACAAATATACCATCTCCGCCTTGATTATATGCTGATGCTTAGCTTTTAAGACATGTACTCTTAACAGTGGCAAAAAATTAATTTTACCTATTGCTTTTTGTGTGTGAGGAACATCTTTACGAGAAATTAATAATAATTATGCTCTTATAGTTACTATTGCGTATTTTGTTTTGAATATAACAGTCGGGGTGAGCGCTAGCTGTGTTCAATTCCCCAGTCACTCGCAACTTAAGAAATCAAGTGTGTGTGAGCGGGCGCACGTGCACTTGATTGACTGTGTGTGTGTGTGTGTGTGTTTAAGAGTGAGAAAGAGAGAGAGATATAGCGTTGAAGTTGAATTAACAAAAAAGCACTGAATCAAAACTGCCAGTGACATATTTGATAATGATCTTTCGGTTACTCTCAGTCTTGAAGCCTCCGGCCTTATAGGCTGACGTTTCTGGCTCTGCGGTTACAGTCAGACATGGCAACTGTCAATGGAACAAGTATTTAAAAAGGCATTTGGTTAAGCCTACGCACCTTCTAGCTTCTCATTTTATAGGAAGTGTACAGAGAGAGCCTTGAGTATATTAACTCTTTGATGATACCTAGCCACCTGTGTTTTGGTAGTGTTAGTCTTAGCCACCCACTCTAGATGTGTCGTGATGAAGCAGTGATAATTTTCTCATACTGAGAAAACTTCTTGCTTATTAATTTTGCCCGTCTGAATTGCGCGAGTAAACGCAGTGCGTTACATATGACAGGACTATAGCGTGCATCAGAATGCTTGTTTCACTCTTAGCATTATGCTTCTAATCTACGGCAGAATGAAAACTTAGTCACTATTCAACTGTATGTAGTTCAAGTTCTTTTAGGATCTTAAGTTTTGGCCGACTTAATTTCATTAGTAAAGTTTCTATGTAGATTTTGTAGTTAAAGTGTTTTAAGGTTTCAATATATCTTGTTTAAAACATATCTTAAACACAAGAAAAAGCTAAGGGGAAATGTTTTCTTTTTTTGCGAGTTGGCTTTTTGACAATGCACGCAGCGCGTTAAGCACCTTTACACCGCCTAGTAATCTTTTCATGTTTATTATCATCACGATCAATTCAGCGCGATCTCAATGCCTGCATTCGACTAACTTCGGGTTTCAATTGCCTTCATGTACTGACTAGCATAATATTACCATAACCAAATTTAGAGTGTTTAGACTGCGTGTAATAGAACAGTCTGTTTCAGCAGCTTGATCGCTAAATATGCGCAGAAATATGTGTCATTAAAGTTTAATTTCGGACAGAACTAAAGAGAGGTTGGTCTTGCGGACAGCTCTAACAATTTCAATGAACAGTCCGGAAGCTCAACTTTTATATTAAAAAAAAAATATGAACCATCCCTCCTAACGGAACCCTGATGGGATGCGAAGCAGTAGCGGTGCGCACGGTGTTGACCCGGTTGAAACGGGTGTCGACGCGGTTGCTGGAAGAATGGTACGGTACTACACACGTGAGTCAAAGAGATGCTGTACATCTAATAAAAGAATGGAACTGTAACTTTCAGAGATGTGCCACTGGCTCTCGTTTAGGTTGTTGTCTAGGGATTACTATAGTATTGTAAGAGCATTCGCAAAAAAGTCACTTTGTTAGATGTGCCAAGCAAGAAGTATGTCACGAATAGGGGATGAACGATATAGTATTCGAAGTACAATCGTAGCTGGCCTGTGACCAGGATGACATAGCGCTTATCGTACAGTAGACAATGCTGGAACATAACTTCAGTATTTCAAGAGCCAACTTCATGGGGAAGTTGCAGTACTGATGATTTCATGCTTTAGTTAAAGGCGTCCAGTCTAGAGATGGCATGAACAAATTGTATGTACTGCACAATTTTTTTTTCAAGTATGGACCATCTTAAAGCAGATATATTTGCTACGGCAGGTCTCACGGGAAGTCAAGTTATGATGTTGCATGGCACTCTCGTATGACAGCTATGGCATGATTGCACAAGTAGGTATGCTTAATTTTTGTGCAAGAACTAATAAAATAAGCTTAATTACCTCTTTTCCTATATGTGAAGTGCTTTCTCAAAACAGAAATAAATATTACCGCAGCAACCCCATTCCTCTGCGTTCCAAAAGAAAGGTGTAGTTCACGACTGCTAGACAGCTAAGCTTTTGTCTGTTAGGCAGTGTATCTCTTATCTCTCTTTTGCTTTTTCCTGTTTTGTTCTTAATGTCGGCTGCTCATATATAGAGTGCGCACTTCGAAATAAATTGGAGGTCAAAGCGGTGTTTGCCATGCATTTGTTCGTCCGTGAGGCATGTTCGTGCTGCACGCACCTTTGATTCCAGACAAGCTTGCCCATTGAGAATGGTTGCTTAATGACAAAATTGTGATTTCAGAGCTGAAAATACGCGCGTTTACGGCGTATATAGCACGAGAAGAAGAAGCGTCCGATACAAGCGTCCGAAGTGCGGATGGGGTCTCGCGCGTACTACACACCACAATTTCAGGCCGTGGGTCCTAGGTGGCGGATGCCGCTGTGGCCGTCTCAGAGGGTGTACTTGGACTCGTAGTAGAGTGGCTGGGACAACGCGGTTGTAGGTGCACCGGGACTCAGGCTGCCCAAGCCCGAGAGAGGCGCAGTCGGGAAAGGAGCCGTGGAGAAGACCTTGCGTTCGCATGGACTGCCACTGCTGTGTGAGAATCGCATTCCTGCGTCAGAGAAACAAACACTGTGAGCACTTACTCAATCGATCAATATTGATTAAAAAATCACAGAATATACACAGAGTCAATGTTTATGAGGGGGGAGAAGCGCTGGAGGGTTTTATCGCTATATAAACCGCGAACCATCCGCGAATGTCGCCCACTACATCATCAAAGACGTGACAAACACTGTATATATTTGTACAAGAAATATTATTATTCGTAAGTGATATATATAAGTTGCTTCCGTTCCCCCTTCATTGTAACGGATTTATTGTCGGTGAAGTGGTGAATCGGTGATGGGGCGTAGTGGCATGTTTGCAAGGACGAAGTAGTGGGCAGTTTGCAAAGGTGGAACAATAGGCGGTCACGTACAAACAAGCGATGGACACAGATGGAGAATCTTTGGTTCTTTAACGCGCACCTGGATACAAGTACACGACCATCTTGCATTTCATATTGGCTACTTCTCAACAGTATTTGCTTTACGGTCGGTGATGGGGTGAATCAGTGATGGGATGTTCGCAAGGACGAAGTAGTGGGCAGTTGGCAAAGATGGAACTAAGGCTGTCACGCAATACATACATACATACGTACATACATACATACATACATACATACATACATACATACATACATACATACACACATACATACATACACACACACATACATACACATACACACACATACATACATACATACACACACATACATACACACATACATACATACATACATACATACATACATACATACATACATACATACATACATACTTCCCAGGTGGTCAAAATTTCCGGAGCCCTCCACTACGGCGTCTCTCATAATCATGTGGTGGTTTTGGGACGTTAAACCCCACAAATCAATCAATACATACATACTTACATACATACATACATACATACATACATACATACATACATACATACATACATACATACATACATACATACATACATACATGGACAGACACATGCCTTTTAAAGCTTCGCTTTAAAAAAATGCTCGAGAACTGCAGAAGAAATTGGCCAATTATTTATTGGCATAACGATGTCTCGGCACTACTCCTTCAGCGCTGTCAAAACGTACAAACGGTCTAAGCGCGCATGCTTGCACGAGGGACTCTTTTCCGCATGATAAGACATGCGCCTGAGGCACAGTGGTTACAGCGTTTTTCTATTTGTGGTTATCCATGTTCTTATGGTGTGTATGTGCCATGCGCTGACGTCGGATCGCGTGCGCGCATGTGTTTGACATCACACCGGAAAGCTGTTCGTTCGCCCTCCCAGAATCCATCACGCTAACCAAGAAAATGCTATTCACCTTCTAAAGATAGGTTGCAATATCGTTCTTGCCAGAGGTGATGATATGTCGGTTATGTTACAGTTGCTTGACACGAAGTAGCTGACATGATTCAGCGTAAAAAAGATTTGGCACGAATAAAGAAAAAAAATTAACGGGCCCAAACAACTCAAGGGCTTTAAGAGACGTGTGCCGGACAGTGGTCGGCTGCGAACTAATTACTCGTACGAATTACGGGATTTGAGGCAACGCCTTAAAATTGTACTTCACCTGCCACGGTGGTCCAGTGGTTATTGGTGCTCAACTGCTGGTCGTGGGATCGTATCCCGACCGCGGTGGTCGCATTTTCGATGGAGGCGAAAATGTTCGAAGCCCGCGTAGTGTGTGACGTCAGAGCACGTTAAGAACAGCAGATGGTTAACATTTCAAGAGCCTTTTCTACGGTGTTCCTCATAACCATGCCATGTTTTTAGAACGTAAAACTCCAGATATTATTGAGGTAACATGCATGTGGGCTTACAGGTATATTTAAAGCGTACAGACCTCTTAATGGTAATATTTTTTTATTGCGGTATAAGCTATTGAGTAGTTGACTATACTTTGAAAAAACGTTTCAGGATCCCTTTAATATAGCGTACAATTCTTGTTTTCGTTCTACAAATGCCTTGTTATTGACAAATAGAGCTGACTGGCTGTTGATAAGAGCTACGTTGGTAGATCCAACTCAAGCCTGTTGATGATCGGAAAACTTGCTGGTGCTAAAGTTGGGCTTGGTAGAACAACTTGTCTTTGCATGTGGAGCTCTCAAGGACAACTGTGTTTACCGTTGCGCGAGTGAATATTTACTCCTACAAAGGCCGGGCAGATCAGTCCAACTAAAGCGACATATGTTTTTATGCGTATCCTCGTTAAGTTTGGGCCACCTCTATGGAAGCAATTAGCACAAAAGTTGCCGCCGTGTTGGGCCCCTGCGCCTCAACATCGCCCTATGCGCGCTAGTATATATCTGTGTATATTTACATATGGCCTTTGCGTGACCTCTTCGTGTGAGTTTACGCGACAAGTCACGTGTATCAACAAACCAACAGAAGAGTGATATAACGGCGCTCTTGTGCCTTTCTTGAGTCAAACAATATATCCGCGCAGCAGAGGAGCACCGCCCTTCACAGTGGTCGCTTCCCAAACAAAACGGAGGTAAACTTTATTTTTCTGCTGAGTTACTTTTCATAATATTTGCGGTGGTCGCAGCTTTCGTGCAACCGCGAGGAAGATTTCTCGAAAGACGGAGCTGCACGCATCCAGCGCTTTGCGAACGGACGCCTGTATTGGACATCAGTGCACGCGAATATAGTGCACGCAAGAAACGGGAGCGACTCGAACCTTCCGAGCTGCGTCGCCTATTTGATGCCCGACAAGCGGCTCTTTGTGAAGCGACCGGAGTTTTGTGTAAACATTTATTTCTTTCCCAATGCTTACGCCATATGAAACGAGCACTTGACATAATTTTCAAACACCGAGTATTTTAAGTAATGCTAGCGTCTTACCACACGGTTATATATGTATATGGTAAACTAGAATAACGTCTTAATGAATGGAAACAACGCAAGAAGCATGGAACATTTTTAAAGGGAATTCGTCTCGATCGTCTTTGGAAGTATAGAATGGAGATAGTCGCTTTAACTCTGTAAAATATACTTGGGCTTGAATATCTATGCAGGCAGCTCGTCGCACAATGCATAAATATTCGTAAACAAGTGGGTGTTTTCCGTACTTTTTGGCCTGATTTGAAAGAAATGCAGAAAAGATATAAGGAAGGTTGTTTGCTCTTAGTCAGTTTTCTCCTTTAAGGCTACACTGACGTCTGAGTCTTTATTCCAGGATCCATACTCAATCACATTTTGAACAAAATACGTAGACAAATACACCTTGAATGAAAGAGGTGTTTTGGTGACAACAATCGATTGCTGTATAGAACTCCATTGAATGCGGTACTGCCTCTGCTAGAAGGACCGCTTCAATGTACAGGGTATTTTTAAGCCTATACAGATTTTTTTCTTTAAAAAAAGCTATAGTAGGTAGGCACTTGTAGTCTTCGCCGCCAATTTTTAGGTCAAGGGGAAAAGATTTCACCACTAATTAGATAATTCCGGAATGATTAGCTGACAAAAATATTTGAATGAACTTTTTATAATCAATTTTAGGGTGGTTGCTTATATGCGAAGTTGTTGTACGTCACAAATTTTGGCGAGCCTAGTTTTTAAAAAAAATCAAAATATCACGCATGCTTCCAGAGATCCACCGTCAAATTTCCAGATCTCTAGTTGCTGCGGTGCTCCAGATTTCCAGATTAAATTTCCAGTCAACCGCGGCGCCGGAGAAACGAAAACTAACGCGTCGAATGAACCAAAACTAACCGAGTGCGTCAAAACTAACACACTCGGTGCTTAGAAAGGCTGCTTTAAAATGTTCGTTTAACACAAAAGTGTTTTATGCCAGGGTTTACCAAGACTTCAGTGACATATTTTCATCACAGAAATAATGTAAAAAAAGTGCACGATCAAAAATCAAAGAAAATACGTTCCGTCAACAAACTGACGAACTTTCGGCCAGCGACAATAGATGCCGGGCACGCTTCTCACATACACTGGGAGCCTTACAAACGCGGGTTTTATATGTAACACTGGTTTTCTAGTGCTCATGGTAAGGTGATGTAGTCCATCATGACCGCCATATCCACTATAAGTCCTTCAACGCGTCGTTTCTATGCGTCCGTCCCATTTAGCGTGTTTTCAATAGAAGGGCAATTTTGTCGATTCTGTGAACATAACGCCAGGTGGCGACATTATCCCTATAGCGTCGCCCTCACTCACAGCATTCATCAATACAAAAAATAGCTCTGTGTCACATTACTGTAACTACGCTTTCTCCACTTACGCTCGCAGCGCGAAAAAACACGGCTGGCTGCAGCGTAGATACGATGTGCGCTGCGTTTCTCTCTAGTCGGGCAGTGGCGGTCAACATAACATGCCGCGAGTAGGCGACCTAGCCGAAGTTCGGCGTTCTCCTCCTTACTGTCACATCCGCTTTCACCAATTCCGCTCTCAGCGGTAATTGCTACAGATAGCACAAGCATCTATGACCACAAGGGTTTGTTTAATCATTCATCATGGACATTAGTCGTCTGTATGGAGATTGATTGATTTGTGGGGTTTAACGTCCCGAAACCACCACATGATTATGAGAGACGCCGTAGTGAAGGGCACCGGAAACTTCGACCACCTGGGGTTCTTTCACGCGCACCCAAATCTGAGCACACGGGCCTACAACATTTCCGCCTCCATCGGAAATGCAGCTGCCGCAGCCGGGATTTGATCCCGCAACCTTCAGGTCAGCAGTCGAGTACCTTAGCCACTAGACCACCGTGGCGGGGCTGTCAAACACCAAGAGACATTGTGAAAGCTCTCTTAAATCAGTGTACAGTAAACATTCAACTGTATACTTCTGTAAAAACAAGTTTCACTTTCGCGTTATACCGATTCCTATGACAGAGGGATTAACCACTTTTTTTAGTTGTTTCGCGACACGTAGAATCAAATAGATAAATAAAAATGTGGTGTTTTTGTATATTGCTTGGCCAAAAAACTTGGTATACAGAAAGGGTTACAAAATGTTTGTGTCAGCATTCGCTTTGTCGCACTCAA